TTCAGGCCGTCAATGTGAAGACTATGTTTTAGACGAATAATTTATAATATTAGACGAGTAATTTAGAGTTTTAGAGATTATCATGTACTACATGTTCGATAATATTAATGATACATTGTTAATAATAAAAACAAGTAATGTCATTAAAAATAAAAGAGTCAAATGCGAAAGTAAACAAAAAGTAAAGAAATAAAAAAAAAATAATAAAAAAAGAAAAGAAGTAGAAGAATTCTAAGAAGAAGTTATCCAGGCCGGCAAAGTGAAGTCTGTGTTCTAGTAAGACTTTCTCGATAGCACTAGGAAACGTGACAGTTCATCTTGTAGAACGGAAGAGAGTCATGCTTTTAACAGAGCCGCGTGGCTGCTAGAGTCAGCAAGAAACGTGAGAGTCTCTACGGTCGATTGTGAACCGATGCTCGAAACTATATATCCCAACGTTTCTCACATTATTCTCGTCAATTTATTGTGCATACTAGATGATGTCTACTACATGATTATACAAACGACGACTCAAAACATCGAGAAAATAATAATCTTCCATGGAGAAGTATTGAAATTTCAAAGGTGGATAATAATCTCAACAATTTTTCCTTTTTCTTTTCATTCCAAATCAATTCTTTCTCATCATAATCTTTGTACACGTACGATCTTGCCAAAAAAAAAAAAAAAAAAAAAAAAAATCGAACATTTCCTTTCTGAATTCTCAAACAAGGGAATCATAGTTATACTCGAATGTAAGAAAAATAAAGAAAGAGAAAGAGATAGGAAGAAATGTTTTCCACTTAAGAAAATAACGGAATCCTATCTTTATGTTGAAGAAGAAGAAGATTCATCCGTACAAGTTTATATAACTATCAGCCAAATAGTATAACTCTGAGACTTCCTTATGTTTCCTTCTTTTATACATTTTAGCAAGTAGTCATAAATTTGATGAGAGTAATCACGACCTCCAGGTATTCGTCGTTGCATTTTTCGAACTTTTACTTCAATGTATCTCCATATAATATACAATATATATATATATATATATATATATAGCTACGTAGATATATCGTATGTTGCCGACTTTTGCACATCGTATTTGTGGTCTTTGGGAAAAACTCGTTCGACTGGTTACCAGTAAAATATACCGCTGGAGAGTCTTACCTCCTTGTAAAAGTGCTACCGAAGAAATGCAAAGGATCCCTGAACGGGCACGAGACTGTGGCAAATGTCTCCAACCAACCAAGTTTTGTCTTTGTTCTTTTGCAATATTGTATTCCTGTAAACATCTCGTATAAACATTCAGACAGATAGCTAAACAAAGAAAGAAAGAGAGAGAGAGAGAGAGTTTGAAATTGAAACATCTTCCTGTACGATCGAAGCTGAGATTAAATATCAACAAAGAAAGAAAGAAAAAAATTCACCACAATTTCTAGTATATAATATTCTCTACGTGATTTAATTGGTATATTTAATTTTATTACGTTTATCATATCGTATTATATGTGAAAAGAAAAATATTAAAGGGAAGGAAGAAAGAAAAAAAAAAATTTTGAAACGGAGAAAAATATTACAATTGAGAAGTAAAAAATTTTATATTAAAATGAATTAATAATAAATAAATTAATTGTCTAACAATTTAATATATTATTTCCTTAATGAACCAATGATAGTATTCGCTCCACATTTGTTCCTGAATGAAGACGGTAGAATCACGATGAAAGTACTACATATACCGATATACATCATGACATACCGGTCCACTATTCACATCACACGAATGCGTGCAACCGATAGACGCGAAAAGAAGCCTTATCGTAGGATGATGATTCGACGAACGGTCGAGCGTCACGTCGGTCAAGCTTGGATGGAACTCGTTGAACAGGTGGAATGACTGGCTACGAGTCCAGCATTCAACGGTTAAATAAATGGCAAAACCTGTCTTAACGTAAACACCGAGTAAACGCTAGACGAAAATCAATCTGACTGTCGGCATTGAGAAGAAGAAACTCGTTACATCTTCGGTTGAATGTGTCATTTAAATATTAATCACAATATTTTCTTGCAAAGTGAATATTTTCTCTTGCAGATTAAAAAACAACAGAGAGAGACAACATAAGGAAGATAAAAGGAAAGAAAGAAAAAAAGGAAAAAAGAGGGGAAAAAATAAATCGCCATTTTTTTATCAGACAACTTAATGCTTAATTATTTTTTCCGGTAAAAATTAAAAAAAAAAAACAAAACAAAACAAAAAAAACAACAAAACAAAACAAAATGAAATAAAGGAGTAAAAAAGTTCGAAGAAATGTTTAAATCGTTTTAAACGAACCAAAGGACGAACCATGTCCATGTCAGTGAGCATTATCGTTTTAGTATCACGAGTACGAAATCGAAAAACGCACGAGAAAACGTCGAAGCGTGCTTACCCGGTCACTGAGCATTTTATCATAGCTCGTGGCTTCTCGCCTCGATTGAATATGATCGGTCGACTTTTTAATGAACCCTCGCAGTTCGTTTGCTCTCTTTCTCTTTCTCTTGAATGAATGATGAATAATTATGAAATATGGCTGGTAATAATTCTCCTGGGATTAATTATGCGAATCTTATTGAACTTCTTTTCTTCATTTTCTTTTTCTTCTTTGACGAATTTTCACGAGAGACAAAAAGATCAATTTGATTATATATCATATATACACAGACGAGAATAAATTCTTCTTCTTTATAATAATAATAAGAAAAACGAAAAAAAAAATTATTAAAGATTTACACACCTGAAACGAGAAGACCTGTATTCTTTCTTTCTTTCTATTCTCTCTCTTTCTCTCTCTCTCTCTCTCTCTCTCTCTCTCTCTCTCTCTCTCTCTCTTTTCTTCTCGAACGATAATATTGCCTTCTGATTATCCTGCAAGCCCTCTGGCAGGCTACAAACTCGCTTAAGTTACATCGTAACGATGCCAGGGCCCATGAACCGGTTGTGGACCCTAAGGCCCTGCCACTGCACTTATTTGGCCCCGTATGTGCCCTTCATCAAGGTATCCGATGGAAAAGAAAAAAAAAAAAGAAAGAAAGAGCGGGGGAGAGAGGTAGAGTGAGAGAGAAAGAGAGAGAAAAAAAAAGTGAAAATTCGACGAAATCGATAAAAAATAAAGAATGTGAATTCAACTCGCACCTGGTATCTAAGAAGAAAGAGAGAGAGAGAGAGAGAGAGAGAGAGAAGATTTAAGTTGATGCAGTTAAAAATGAAAACGAATAAAAAAAAAGCAAATAAGAAATTTGTAAACTCAATGAAAATACAATCATTCATTTCTATCATTGTACTTTATCACGTAACTATTTGCAACTTCTATGTAGAGTGTGATTCGATAGATTTTATAATAATTTTATAATAATTTCTTTTATTACGAAATATCATATTTTCATTAAAATAAATTATGACAAAATAATATGCATGTTATTTCTGCTTAAAAAAAAAAAATACTTGTTACAAATATACATTTATTTGTGTTTAGGAAAAGTACGTTTGTAATAAAAAATTTTTTAAACTATAAAGTCACATATCTTCATTATAATTAATTATTTAAGATGAATAGAGTATATATATATATATATATATATATATATATATATATATATACACATATATTGTCCACCTATTTTGTCATATATGTCTACCTATATGTATATGGTATCTTTAAAGATATATTGTACATATATATACATATATAAATATATAAATACCTATGTCTGAGTTTATTAAAATGATTTGACATTACATTTAATATATAAAGTATATAAAAAGAAAAAAAAAATATATGTATGTATATTTTTTCAATTGAAAAAAAGAAATATCAAAACACAAGAGTAATTCTTATGAAACTTCAAATGAAAGAAATAAATAATATGTGGAAAGGGTAACTAGTAAAAAAAAAAAAAAAAAAAAAATAGCTCCACCTATCTAAACCGAATGAATGAGATTTTCCGATCGAAAGATATAAAAACAAATAAATTGAAGACACAAGCTGTCCAATATTGCACCAACCTGGCTATTTGCCAGAGATGCAGAGTAGTCGAAGTTGCGTTCTGCAGCTCGTATTATGCAGTCGGATGCAAAGAGTCGTAGATATTCCGTCGTCCGTTCTCGTTATCTCTCTTTCACCCTCGCCATCTTCTATCTATCTTTCTCTTTCTCTCTTTCTCTTTCTCTCTCTCTCTCTCTCTCTCGCTCTCTCTCTCTCTCTCTCTCTCTATCTATCTATCTATCTACCTCTCTCTCTCTCTCATTCTCTCTGAGGACTAACGCTCTCAGAATGAATCGTGATTTATTCCGACCATGCTATTTCTATCTCCTGCTCTCTTCACGTTGGCTTGCTTCGTTCAACTAAGAAGGAGACCCTTGAAATGGTACTTTCAAGGTCAAGCAACTTTCCTTTGTTCATATGTACGTTCCTTGGTCCATCTGATTTTTTTTACTTCTCTTTTTCTTTCCTTTTTCGAAAAGATACAAATATATATATATATATATATATATATATATATATATATTATATATATATATATATATAAAATTCAGATACAAAATTTAGATAAAAAATATATGTAGTATAATATGCCACGCCTTTAAAAACAAGCACTCTATAAAATGAAAGAGTCACGTGTTTGGGATGTGCGCACTATAATCAACGTTCTACTCTCATTTGACGTATATTCTACGGTGTCAAATTCCCAAAGGAATCGTGGGGGAAAAAGAAAAAAGAAAAAATGAATGTGCAACCCACAAAGTGCTGATCGACGATTGTTCAGTATCAACTAGGTGCGCGAACAAGCAACATCAAGGCAAGGTTCTAATTGAACGTTAAACCATCTAATAGAATAACTTAAGTTTGACGAGACAGATAATTTGATCAGTATTAAGTCAGAAAACGATTTGACCTGATAATGATGTGAAAATTAATAACATCTGTCTTCTTGTTAAAAATCAAAAGTGATAATAAATATTACAAATTATAATTACAAGTGTGATGTATTTAGAAGATATTCACAAATATCCAGGACTCTTTCCAAATCATCGAAAGGGTCCAACGATTACAACTACTACAGAATTAACAAAAATCAACATAATCACTATAACTCTTTCCGAATATACACAAAATGCTATTGACATATTATTAGTTACTTTAGGTGCCTCTTTAAATTTATCAATAATCTTCATTGTAGCCTTGAATTCATCTTTACGAGTATCGACGAGCTGTTATATTATCAGTTTGGTCGCTTCGAATTTGGTAATCATGATTGAGCCATCACGAAGAATTCTACGATCCATCTTCGAATTAAATATTCCTATGAATCTCGACTACGTTTTTCATGTTAGTTTCTATTCGTCCGTATTAACGATCGTGATTTTTAGTATAGAAAATTATATCTGTATTTGCGAACGATACATTTCCATATATGAATACTTCACAAAACTATTTAACACAACGAAGAGAATAGTTTTCATTTGGTTGACATCTATCATGATCACAGCAATGGAATTACATCTTTACGATCATTTCGAAAGAGACGACATGCATGATATATTCGCAGCTTCGACAATCATGTTTATGGTTCTACCATTTTTAATTCTTATTCTGATTCATTGTGCGATCATTTACGAACTATTATCGATCAAATCAATCGAAGGACAATGGCGATCAAAAGATCTGGAAAATTTTCGTTTGTCAAGTAAGAAACTGATAAACGACGAACAATAATTACATTATCAGGATTAATCCTAATTGAAATTGTTTCTAATCTATCTGTTTCCTTTTCTTTTCTTTTCTTTTTCTTCTTTCTTTTTTTTTTTACAGTTGGCCTAGTCTGGGCGTTTTTTCTCACTATGGTCCCATATAGAATCGCAAAGGTAATAACATCGTTAAATCCAAATGCAAAGTGGTGTTGTTCGACGAAACAAATGGAAATTTTTTATTTACTCATTAAGATATTCCCTATTGTATCTACGATCGTTTGTTACGTAACGTATGAAAAATTTCGTAAAGTAATTCAGGTTTGTATTAATTATTATAATAAAGTTTATAATAGATATTAAACATTCATTTTGTTTATAGAATACTATAAGTTCGTTATATAACAAAAATTTATCACATCTAGTTTGAATAAACGAAGATAAAAAACTTTTCATTATGTATAATAATTATAATCAATTAGGGCAAATAATGAAACTATAAATTAATAAAGGATCAAACAATATATAATGAAAATTTTTAAAAGAAATTAAACCTATATTTGAAAAGAAGCTTTCCATTATATAATAATAATAACAATAATCGACAATGGATGAAAATAAAATTATAAATTATTAAAGGGAATTAAGAATACATAACGAAAATTATTAAATAAAATGTCAGCTGTTATTAAAGAAAAAAAAAACAGATCTGTCTATTATACAACAACAACAATAACAACGATAATAATAATAATCATCATCATCATCATTTCATTAAGGAAATTTAACAATAAACTTATAAATTGGTAAGGAATAAAGAATAAATAATAAAAATCGTTAAGTAACATTAAAGTAATATTAGAGTTGTCCTTGGATAAAAAAAAAAAGGAAAAAAGAAAAGAAGATAGAAAAAAAGAAAAGAATTCATTGACAAACGAACTGAGAGATAAAATCAAATTTCCAAGTCCTTCCTATTCCAACTCGACTCGAACAATTAAAAATTCCTCTCACGAGCCTTTCTCTATTCTTTCCAGCATCTACTAATATAAGACCGAAAGGACAAGGTAGTAGAATAAATAGCTACTACTACTTACTCATTGAGAAGGAGCATGAGTACATTCTACTCGAGTTGTTTCGTGGCACATTACCGAAGGAAGATGTATCGTACGTGCCATCTTCGATATATCGGATAAAGAGGATACGAGGAAAAGAGACGGAAACAGAGAGAGAGAGAGAGAGAGAGAGAGAGAGAGAGAGAGAGAGAGAGAAAGAGAAAAAGAGAGAGAGAGAGAGAAAGGAAATCACTGGGAGTTGAAGGCGTTCGCTCGAGACGACGTTTCCGGTCTGAACGTCACCACTTCTTAACTCCTGCTTTTCAACAACACTAATATAATCATATAACAAAAAAAAAAAGCAACCATTTTTCAAATAAATAAGTATCATTAAAATCAAGAAATTTTACCAAAAATATCTGAATGGTCAGTATTTGATTATATAAAAAAAGTTATATATATATACACATCTTCGAGATATTTTAAAACTGATAGAAAAAATTTTGTGGAGATATACATCGAGATATATTTCAGAATTGATTAAAGAATGAATTAAAAAATTCTATACTTTTTTCGAAGTATATATTTCCAAGTCAATAAGAAAAAAAAAATGGATAAAAAAATAAGAAAAAAAAAGGAAAATTAGCAAAATCAGCATACATATCTACACGACACCATCCAAAGATAAGATTTACGAGACAGGATAGATAATTCATATGCATGGTGAGTAAAATAAAAAAAAAAAAAAAAAGAAAATAAAGAAATGAAAAAAGAATAAAAAAAAGAAAAAATCCCGATTCGAAGCCCGTCGTCCTGTTATCTTATTTTATCGTCCGAATTTATGCGGGTATTTCGAAAGAACACGAAACCATACTCTCGTAGTATTAAATTTGCTTATGAATACGAAAATGAACATTGGAATAACGAATACGCTAATAAAACGATGATCCGAGCTAGTGAGATATAACAAAATGATAATAATGATAATGATAATTAAAATTATAATAATAACAATAATGAATGAATGAATGAATGAATGAATACAAGTTAATAGAAAGGCCAGCTTCGTGTATCGTAATGTTCAATATCGCAACGAAATCATAGCACGTACATCAGATCGTGTAATCCACAACAAAAAGTATCGTTTAATTTGAATGGAATATGACGCAGAAAAAAGACTCATGTAATTCTCACATTTCTTTCAATTGTGCCACGCATATGCAAATCCTCGCATTTTGCACGTTACTATACATATACATATATACGTGCAATGCCAAATAAAAAGATAGAAAACTATTTATTTTCATGGGGACGTTTAAAAGACAAACAAAGAAAGTTTTATTACTAATAATATGCGTCAGTATTTAACTTTCTACAAGATGATACATGGATTTTCCTTTACCAAGTGAAATATGAATTCTTGTTTTTTTTACTGGGACATTTTCTATAAAAAAAAAAAAATATATATATATATATATTTAAAAGTATTTGAATATATCATGAAATATATATGAATAGATTATGAAAATAATAATAATAATAATAATAATAATAATAATAATAATAATAATAATAATAATAATAATAATAATAATAATATTAATAATAAGCTTTGAGAAGTTTAAAAAGACTTCATTTAAAAAATTTCATTACACTATTATAATAAAATAAATATAATAAAAAAATTTCTAATTTCATCTAGGAAAAATTCCTTAAAATTATATATCGATCGCTAACTTCTTTAACTTTAACGATTAAAATACAAATATTTTTTATTTAATAAAACACTTCCTAACAAAAAAGAAAGATACATTAACTCTTTGAATATATTACACAAAATAATAATAATAATAATAATAATAATAATAATAATAATAATAATAATAATAATAATAATAATAATAATAATAATAATAATAATAATAATAGTTGGATTTAATAACCACCGAAATGTTCTTAATGTTATTATTATTTGGAATACAACAGACGTGATAAAAAATTTCTAAATTGGTCGAAAGACTTCCCCTAAAACTAAATAACAAAATTATTTACTCGCGCTGATCAAAGAGTTAACACGTGTTTCGATAGCTCAGGGATTATATGTATGTTCGTTGTTGCATATTCTATAAATATCTACCACCACAAGCACATCAATTTAAAAGACTCAGAGAGACAGTAATAGCTGCCTCTCTCTCTCTCTCTCTCTCTCTCTCTTTCTCTCTTTCTCTCTCCCTCTCTTTCTCTTTCTCTCTCCCCGTGTCGTGTAACCATAATAAAAGTGGCAAGAGTTTCGGCCGTGACGAAACGAGCGTATAAAAATTCGTAACGTTTTGCGACCAACGAAAGTTATATTTTTTCTTTTTTTCTCATAAAATTTATGCAATCTAAAGAGAATTTTAAATGTAAATGAAAGTTTCATTAAAATACACATTATAATATTTGAAAGAATATTAAAAATAAATTTGCGAATATTATTTTTCATTTGATAAAAAAATCTGTGGAAAAATTTTTAATTTCTCACAATATAAAAAAAAAAACGTATTTCTTTGTGTAATCCAAAAGAATTTTTTATATAAAAGTAAATGTTCCATTGATATATATATATATATATATATATATATATATATATATATTAAAATATTTATTTAAAAGAAAATTAAAAATAAATTTGCGAGGACATTATCTTTCATTCGACTAAAAAAATCAATTAAAATTTTGAATTTCTCACGTCACAAAAGACGTACATACGTTTTCTTTGTTGGTATCCGAAGAAAAAAAATTTACAAATATATATAAATGAAAGTTCCATTAAGATGTACGTAATAATGTTAAAAAGAAAATGTAAAAATAATTGTCAATAAATTATTATAATCTTCTTAAACTCAATTAAAGGGGATTTATAAAGATTTTTAATTTTCCGCCATATAAATCTTTCGATTGGTCGTAAATCAATGTGTCTTCTATATTCCTCTGTGAGAAACTAAACGAAGATAGACAGTTAAATAGATAATTAGAGATAGATAGGGAGAAGGAAGCGCAAAAGGTAATAGCTGCTTCTCAAGAAAATGTTTTATCAAGTGCAGCCGTTAGCAAGCCACGTAAAATTATTATTCAACGTGTGCTCTCGTCTACATATATACATGTACACACGAAGAAGACTTAATGAATTTAAGATCTTTTGCGGTTGTAAGTTCCATGGAAAATTTTGAAGGAGACCAACGAACCGATGAATTTGCAACAAAGCACGAACTCGATATTCATTCTGCGTGAAAATTTGATTAAAAAAATTTTTAATTAAGTTAAAAAAAAAAATTATAAAAAGGAAAAGAAAAAGGAAATAATATACACATAAAAGTAATGAGAATGAAAAAGTTTGTGGTCCGACTTTTTTTCTCACTTTCTCTTTCCCTCCTCTTCCTCTCTCTCTCTCTCTCTCTCTCTCTTTTTTTTCTCTTATAGATCTTTTATATCTTAATGTTAAATTAGGTTAATTTTAATTAAGGATTGCAGATAAATAAAAAAAAAAATATATATATATATATATTTAAATGTTATTTTCGAAAAATTAACAAATGTTGTCTACGTTAACAGAGAAATCTCGTGAGACTTGTTATTGTATGAAGACGTACACAAATCGATTGGCGTCTACGAGACATTAGTACGATGCACATAGATTGAAAGTTCAAGTACAACAATGCGAAGGACGTTCCTTGGCAAATAAACGATCTCGAGTAAGTCTTGGTGAAAGTGCAAGGTCTTATCAACTAATATAAACGATCTTCTTCTTTGATCTAAATATCCTCCTAAATACGTTTCAATGAATTTATCTATCTATCATTCTCTCTTTCTATATATATAGATATATATATATATATATATATATATATATATATATAACTATATATATATAACTATATATATATAATAAATATTATATAACTAACATATATTTATATAATATTTATTATATATAAAAATAGAAATATGATTATTATATTCTAGATATACGTACATGATCGTATTTGATAATGTAGTATTATAGAAAAACATTGATAATTAAATTAACGAGTAGACAAATATTCATTTTTCCAATCGAATTAATATGAGTTATTCAGATTGATACACACGGTAACGAAATAAAAGAATACATCTTTACTTTCAAGGACAACGATCGATATGGTAATTAGACGCTTAATTATCACAAGATATTTATGATCGATATTTTTTCTTTTATTAGTCATATCCATCGAAAAAGTTGGCTATTCATTTCTCGAAATTGTAATTCTTTGAGTACGCTCTACAATTCTATTATTTAACTTAAAATGAAAATAAGTCTATGTATATATATATATATATATATATATATATATATATATACATAAAGAGTTATATACATATTGTATATGTATATAAAGGGGCATGATTTATAAAGAATATAAATGTAAGAAAATGTGTATTCACGTGCGACTCCTATCCAGAAACATCGTTCAATGACACGAGCTTAGAAGTATGGTTTCTATGGTCGTTTCGACGAAAAACACACGAAAATGAAAACTACTTATACGTTTCAGCATTAAACTCTCGACGCGAGGATACGAACGGATACGTGACCGTAATGTAAACAATTCTTGGCGCCTCTATAGGTATACACGAGCGAACGAACGAACAAACGAACGAACAAACGAACCCAACAAGCTTTCATGCGAACATTTCTTATCGTTAACGAACTTAGAATTTATATATGTATATATATGTATATATATTATAATACAATTTCTATAAAATTACGGACAATCGTATAAAACAAAAATAAAAATAAATAAATAAAATAGATAGAATGCCGATTATTATTCTTTTACTTTAATTTATTTGATTAATATTTTTGTTAATAATTAATATTACGTATTTTATTAAATAAATGTTCAGTATATATGAATACTTTGATCGGTATAAATAATTAAACGTTAAAATTATGTCGCTTATATTACCTATTAATATTTTCTTATTAATATTGATTATTTACTTAAAATACTAATTAAGTATTTCTAGGATACTGATCCAATAAATGAAAGCATTTTTTCTTTATAATGTATAATTATATATATATATATATATATATATATATATATATATATAAAATTACAAACGATTGTATGAGAAAAAACAAAACAAAAGTAAATATAATAAACCGGTTTTGATTTTTTTTTTTTTTTTCGAAATTTCTTACAAGACAAAAATATATCCTTCTACGAATCTCTCCTCCCCTCTTGCTCTCATCAATCCTCCTCCCCACGCAACCGCCATTTGCATCTTGCGACAAGGATAAACAGAAAGGAGGCACGTATCATACGATAACGATAACGCATACATATATATATATGGTAATAATGCACGTTAGAAAAAAGAAAAAAAATATACCTTTTGCCAAGCAGTAAAACGTTGTAAGGCTTCTAGAAGACGGTGAATGAACGAAGACGTCTTGTGTTTCCGGTGATCACAGAAATAATTCTGATATCGCATCTACGCGCTGGAGTGCGCAATTAAAGTATAAAATGCGCGCAACAAACATTGACCAGTTAGATTCAAGAAAATGACTTCGTTGTCAGGTACATCGAAAATTAAGAATAACTTCGTCTTATTATTCAATGTACGAAAAAATAATCTTTTGTTAATTCAACACACACATAATCGCACACACTACACACGTCCCTACACACATGTATATATATATATATATATATATATATATACGATGTACGAAAGATAATTAAAAAGTAATGTTATTGTCACTAGTTACGTTTGAAAAAGTCAACACAAAATGTCCTTCGATCGGTTTTATTCGTCGAATACACTACCAAATATTTCGACGTAATAAAAAAAGACTTACGTCGAAAAAACAAACTTCGTCGTCGGGTATAAGACTAGAAGACGTTAAAATGAAAAGTTGAAGAGCGCAACAACTCACCTCAATACGGTTCGGCACTACGGCTCGTACTGCGAAAAACCTCAACGATTGCTCGTCGCCACGCGACTACCAACTCGAACGGTCTACCGCGCAAGATGGCCGCCAGGACGAGCTTCTCTCATTGGCTACGGTAAATGAAGCTCGGTTACTTTCGATAGCCCGCTCTTATCTTCGTAAATGCGTTCACCTTCTGCTTTACATCCAAGCAAATTCTTTTGATAAAATTAAGTATGAAATAAAAAAATATTTAATGCTTATAAATAACTAAGTATTATAATAATATACATGATTTAATATAATAGACGTATTTTTTGCATACAAAATTTACATCGTTTTAAAATTATAATAATAAATTTATAAATTGTTAAATATATTTGAAATGTATTATTTCTTTGTAACAAATGAGATATAAATTAAAAAATATAAAAAATATAAAAATTATGTATAATTCAAAGTTAAAAAATTTTATTAAAAATGTTCATTCTCTTTGTATAAATATAATTTATGATAATATAAAGAATTATAATGAATTGTAAATCGTAATTACGAGATATTATTTCGTCGTCAAAGAGATAAAATGAAACCAACTGAAATACATAACAGTGCAAACTATATAACGTTACTCGTGCGTGGCATATTGTATTAGGTACATTCTTCGAACGCATTGAATATGAAAATAAATGACTCGATGTTTATTATACCTTTTCTCGTATTTTGAAATATATACGTGAAACTCTCTACTCGCCAAGTTTACACACAAAGCAGAGAAATTCTTGATAGGGGGTCGCACGCGCCTAAATACAGGGTTGCATTCTCTATTTCTGCACGCAACAGGAAGTACGATGGTTTGACCGACACAATGCTGTCAAAATAAATGCCTCGACAATACAAACCGAATGCATACACATGAATAAAAAAGGAGAAAAAAGAGAAGATGGTTCTTTTATTCATTGTGCAGGAAGCACTAAACGAATATTTTTCTAATGTTGATTGTGATTATTCTTTCTAAATTATTATAACAATCACACGATATTTATCATATTCGTTTTATTTAATTTTCTTGTAAATTTTCTATTGTTCAAAAAATTTATTTTCAAAGTTATCGATAAATATCTCTGTTGTATGAACTTTTTCATTTTTCCTATCGAGGGCGCCACTGATCAATTTTTTTTTTTTAGATATTAATCAATGTAACTGTAACGTGAACGTTCTTCTATATATATGGATTTACACAGATATTTTCTACATGCATATAGAACGTTAGTTTTTCGAGAATAAAACATGGTCGTTACGTTCAATAGTTGCTAGGGATTTTTTTTCAGTGTATTAACCAGTTGAATGTAACAACGAACGATTCGTGCGTATGATATTTTGTATCAATAATATTTGTGTGTGGAAAAAAAAAATATAAAATTAATACAATGGTAAGGAAAAATAAATCGATTGTTTATTTTTAAATAGCTCAGCTGATTCGTATATATCCGCTTGTAGCTTTAACCTGCAACTTTATAAGGAAATGTTACAGCTTAAAATAGATCAATACCTGAATTTAAAAGATTCTTATTCTTATCGTTATAATTATGCAAACAGATTCGTTTTATGTAAAAAATTGTTTGATTGCATACTTGAATGCAAATTTATTTCCATAATGAATCTACCTTTTTATAAAATATTTTAATTGTAGCAAAATCCAAACGAAGATACAGAGTGGAATGATATTCTCAGGAAGAAGGGAATTATTCCTGAGAAAGCCAAAGAAAAAGAAGTGACAGAAGATCAAATATTAGATATTGTAGAAAATACAATAAATGAAAAGACTGGATGCAGTAAGTGTCTTTAATCTTTGGCATTAATTAAAATTGAATAAATAATATTCAATCTTTCTTTTCTTTCTAGCTGCTAATGATTTAGAAAAAAAAACTTTGGACGAGTTGGATGAATTGGAAGATGAAGAAGATGAAATGATTCTTTTAGAATATAGACGTAAAAGGATAGCAGAAATGCAGGAGTTAGCAAAAAAAAACAAGTATGGAGAGATTAAGGAAATATCTGGAAAGGAATATATTCAAGAAGTTAATAATGCAGGAGATGTTTGGGTAGTTCTGCATTTATATAAACCTGGGTAAGTTATCGAAGAGTAAAATTTCTAATAATTATTAAATTATATGTCATTTATTTCATACATATATATATATATTTTTCTTTTTTAGAATTCCTATATGTTCACTTGTCAACCAATACTTAGCTTCCATAGCAAGAAAATTTCCTGCAACAAAATTTCTCAAAAGTATTTCCACTACTTGTATACCTAATTGGCCGGACAGAAATCTTCCAACTATTTTTATTTATCACAAAGGAAACATGGTTAAAAAATTTATTGGACCTATAGAATTGCGTGGAATGAAACTCACCGAAGAAGGTTAGAATTTGTTAATGTCATTGCATTAACTGTAATTACATGTATTTGTAATATTATAACAACAGTAACATACTCATGAATATAAATATAATTTATATTTTAGAACTAGAATGGATGCTTGGTCGAGCAGAAGCTATACCAACGCAAATAGAAGAAAATCCACGTCCACAAGTAAAAGATGTTTTATTTTCTAAATTAAAAGGCAATAGTGAGACGGATGATTGGTAACTTCTTTTTATAATTAGGTAATTATATAAAGACTAATGGAAAGGTGCTAAAAGTGTGAATATCATGTACCAAAAAATATTTTATTTCTTCTTTTAATTTATGTATATACAAAAATTTATGTATATACACTTATTACAAAGTATTAACCTCAAAAATATTCAATGCTAATGTCTTTTAACAGAATAAAATATTTAATTTTCCTATTTTACAGTTTGCACAAAGTTTTATTTCTCCATATTGTTTTTCGAAATGTACTACGATAATTTGATCAAAATTGGAAAAAAAAAAGTAATTTTTCATTATTCATCGAAATTCAATAATCTCGAATTTTTCTTAATTATTTAGATTATAATTTTTAAAATAATAAAACAAAATAACGTGCGGATTTATAAACTAAAATCGGAACTCTCTATTTTTCCTCGTAAGTGTAATAATATATTTTATCAATATTTACGTCACAACCCAATGTTCGTGATAAAATACGCATTAACAATGCGTACGTACAGATTAACAATACCGTATACGTACTTATTTAGATAGATTAATTTGTGTGTATTGATTTCTCGAGAATCGACCGAATGACTCCTTTTTCGTGCTGTTTATATTTTGTCCTCAAGGACTTCTCAGGTTTCTTTCTCACATGAGTGATACGTTACGTCTCTTTTTCATTGTCGACTAAACAATTCTAGTAAAGTCCTCGTCGCTACGACAAAAAACTTTAGTCGCTATTTGTCGCTCTAAGAAGACGGTCGTGTGACAATTTTGCCGGTGAGTTTTATTTGTTTTCTTAACGCATAATTTTTCATATCGATTTATTTCTCTTTAAATGAAAATTATTTGAAACAAATATTAATAAATTTTTCTCTTTTTCTTTCCCCCCCCCTTTTTGTTTTTTTTCTTTTTTACTATTTCAATACAATTTTTTTATTAATTTTATTTCATTGTTTATGGATTGTATGTATGTGTACTAAATGATCAGAACAAAATTATGCAAATTCTTTTTCGTTAAAAGAAATGATTTGTTCGATTATTTTTAATCAACGATATTCTCTCAAATATGTAATTGAGATTAGCAATATAATTATGTGGTTTTTTTTTATTCAGTGATAATATCACGATTATAATAATATAACGATGACGAATAAACGCTTGATTTTGTTAGTGTGTTTGTAAGAATCTTCATACTAAGAAGAAATGAAAGGAGTGGGGATAAGTCAAGTTAAAATGTCTCTCTTTGTATTAGAACACACGTATGCATTATATATTTTATACGATTGGACTGCAGTTGTACGATTCAATTGTTTATTACATATGTAATTCGTTCGAATAATTTGTACGATTGATTATCGTTCATTAGGATTATTATAGATAATATTTTAACAGTGAGCATATAGATATATAATTTTGATCTCTAATTCGTTCATTTTTCTCATCTCGAATATTTTATTAAAAATTTACAGTAACATATCTGTCAAATATAAATCAATGATACGAACAATTGGTTATTAATTATCGATTAATTAATTTAAAGATACATATATATATATATATAACTATCGATTTATGTTCGTTCCGATGTTCTCTTTATTTTTTAGGTATTATGAATATTAAAGAAGAGAATGTAATTAGTAGTTTGGAAAATGATGCTTGGGCATCTTCGAATAATTTAGAAGAGAAAAGAATGGATAGTAATGTCGATGAATCTGATTGTTTTAAAAAGGAACATGATATTTCAATGATTAGGACAGATGTTTATGATAATCAAATTGAATTATTGTTATTAACAGAGAATGAGAAAGAAAATGAATGTATTATCGAGATACCAGATTCTATCATTAACTGTGATTATGAGACTTCTAATGATTTTACTAAAACACTTAATGATTCTATATGGATTATGACTGATAAAGAGGCACAAGATGTCAATAAAAAAATTCTTTCCTTAGATTCACAAGTGTTTAAATTAACTATGTTGGAAGGTGACGATACGGTATCTTACTTGACATATAAATGTGATTCAAGAAATAATAGAGACTTATTAAAATTGCAATCTGATAAGAATAAATTCATACTTAATAATCTTTCTAATACTCGTAGTTTACCTAATATATTAAGAGGCCCTAAAACATTTTCTAAACATGATACATCCTCTATTACATTTGAAACAGAAGATAATTCTTATAATACTAATTTCATACTTGAAAATAATATTTTTGAAGAAGAGAACATTAAAAATGTTACAAAATCCCATCATAAAAGAAAACAAAGACATAATCCATTGATTATACAAGAAGAATCTATGAATTGGGTGGTTAATAATACAGATAATTGTAATGACAATTCTATAAGAAAAAATAAACTCAACTCAAAGAAAGAAGCTAAACTTAATCATAGCAATAAAAGAAAAATGAAACATAAAAGGAAATCATTTTTATATAAAAAGGTAATCGACAAACAACCTGTCAAAAAAGCTTTTCAGGAATCTAATGTTACTACAGATTCTACTATGTCTAATTTGGAACAAAATAAAGAGAGAACTAATGATTTAGATCTTTCTATCGAATTTAATGCATTTTATGAAGAACAATTTCATGAAGATTATACGGATCATTTTGACATCTTAACCGATGTCATAAAAGAACAACAAGTTTTACGTGATGAATGTTATGATATACATTCTAATAACATTCATAGTTCTAATGTTATGGATTGTCCAGAATTACAATGTCAGGAATCTCTAAGATATAATTTTGTAGAACAGATAGATAATAGTTGGGAAGATAAAAATGTTATTTTTAAAGATGATAGCCTATCAGATTGTGAAGATTATTTTCATCATGAAAATAATAATTATTTATTGTTTGGAAAATGTTCGGATACAAAACATATTTCTTCAAATGAATGCGATTTAGAAATGGCAAGCATTTATACTATGTACGATAAAAATTATTTATCAAGTTATTTTAATGATTCATTGGATAATGCATTATGCCAAAAAAATCTATCATATAATTGTCTACAAAATTCTTTGGACAAAGTTAAAAATTCGGATAATCTGTTACTCGAAAAAAAAAAATATGAAACTTATTCGGAAAGTCAATTAAATAACGATCTAAATTCTTCAAATATTAATTTTGCATCAACTAATGTTAATAAAAATACAACACATGATTTTTTAAATAATGATTTAGAACATTCAACTATTATAAGTGAAAAAGTCAATGTACAACAGAGTATACAATCTGATGTACTTCTCAACACAGATCTTTCTGCAAAATTCTCATCAGATTCAAAAAAAGTAACGTTAAAAAATTTACCCAAGAATGATATGCCATTAGAAAAAGTAGTACAAGAAAAAAAAGAAATGCATTATAATTATATGATTGTTCACAAATTTGACGAAGAATTTAAGTTAAAATGTAATTACGAAGAAACAAATAATAAACTATTTTTAATAGAAGAAAGTGACTCAATTATAGCGGAAAATCATAGTTTAAATGACATAAAAAAAACAAAAAATGTTATAGAACCGTAAGTTATATACATGTATATTTCATTTAAAAATTTTAATAGATTACATGTAATTAAATGTATTTGTAGTTCACAGTGTTTACTATGTCCATTAACATTTTCATCCAAACGTTCACTGGCATTACATATAGCAGGAGCACATGGAGGTAGCAAATATATTTTTTTCTGCATGTATTTCATATATTCTCAATTTTATTATTATATATCTTTTTATAGATATGTATGTAATATTGTGCGAACGTTGCGGTCGACTTTTCAATAAAAAGTATATCTTTAATAAACACTATATACATTGTGGCTGTGTTAAACTACCTTTTACTTGTAAAATGTGTAATAGAAATTACAGGTAAGAAAGGCATCTATATTTTTTCATAAAGAAAGAATAGAGCAACGTGCATATAGCTAAATATATTAAATAGTTTCTATATATTTATGTACTTTTTTTTAGGCATAAATCATCTTTGTTGCATCATCTTAAAATTGAGCATCAAATGGAAAATAAACCACATACAACAAAGGCATATAAATGTGATATTTGTTCCAAAATATATAGAAAGTATGGTGCTTTTGAAAAGCATTTGGGTATACATGTTAGTTCCCAAAAATCTCTAAATCTAAGGAATAGGAAATATACTTTCATAGTCGCTGACTAATACCTCATTATCTTTCACATATTGCATTGAATATATCAATACTAACAAATTATTGAAATAAGTAGGTTACACTTAAGCAATGTGATAATTATTATTTTACAATCAATTTCATATATATTATTTTTATAAGTTCACAACAATATTTTTTTATATACTTGATAGAAAACTTTTTGTTTTTAGTTTAAGTTCACGCATCGTTTAATTTTCGTTCGTTTAAACAAATTAACCGACATAAAAGAAAAAGAGAGGAAAAGAAAATGAAAGAAAATTGTCATTCAAGCGTGCTTACATCGATTCCTCTAAGATATTAAGTATTTTTTATCTTACATAATATTCTATTTATGTACATTCGACTGATTTAGAATATACTACTATAGTTTATATATATATATATATATATATATATATATATATATATACATATATATTTTTGTTTAATTATTGTTTTATGTGCAATTTTTATTTTTATACTTTTTATAAACGTGTATAAATGGATTATATTAGAAAACATTTCGAACAAAACTAATTTTATCGTTAAACATATACATATGCATTATGACAAATAAAACTTGTCATATTTTTGTTCATTTAATCGCTTTAAGAACAGAGATATAAAAAATCGAAGTCGTTATAATCTATAAGACGATAGATTGTTAAAATAATGATCTTCGAAAAAAATTATATCGGCTGATATTTGTATGTACTTAATTTTTGATTAATTTTTGATAGGACAATTCTCATTCACAGAGAAATCTCTTGCGGTAATTTAATGCGAGATAAATGAATAAACAAAAATAAGAGATGACCAAAAATTTGTACTACTTCAAATTGTACGCAGTATTTCCCATATCCTCGGTCTTGTAAAAAAAAATGTGACGTGTAAAAAAAAATTGTCAAATATATAATAAAAGATATAATATTTTCATATAATATTTAATATGTTTCGCAAAAATAACAAATAAAAATACTATCATCTTAAATAAGGAATTCTCCAAGATAACAAATATATGGAAATATTGTGTGTAAGAAGTGTTACATAGGAAGTATATATAAAGATTCCACTGATGTTATTGTTCTTTGTATATTAATTACAATAATTATTAACATTTATCTTATTTAATAATTGTTACATTATATTTTTACCCATAATTTATTACAACAGACTAATATCCATCTATACCAAGAGGAAAAATGTTTTCAAACAATTGAAATAATTATTAATCCATAAAATGGATCTTTAATGGCTTTCCCGTATCTGAAGTCGTATGTAAAATAAATGGTTAAATAAAAACAAAACAATTATGATAAGAAGAGAATAAAAGAAATAATTAAATTTATTCGATTATCGATACGTGACGTTTGACGATACAATTCAAATAAGCACATTGTCTAATATTATTATTGTTATTAGTCTCTTGTGTTTAATTATTGTTGTTAATGAATCGTCCGCATGCATGAAAGACTGCAGTCATTGGAAAAAAAAGACCCGTTGAGACGATCACGCACGCGATAAAAAAGCTTTGAGTTAATTGCGGTATATAAATTATCGAAGACAGACATTCATTTTTCATTGAACGGAAACGATCCTTCGACTAATTAATACAATTTAATTAATTTTTTTTATCGTTGCATTTAAATACGATTTATCATCATTGACGACGTGTTCATTGTAGATCGATTTAAATGTAAAAACTAAATAATGCGTAACTTCTTTTTTCTTTTTTTTTATTTTTTAATCCAAGAAAAAAATAATTTCTTTTTTCCTTTTCTATCCAAAAATGATTGCATCGTGCAAAGTGTTTGAATTGGATTTATTATTCTCGCTTCTCGCTTTTTTTGCATGAAAAAACAAAATCTTATTGATTTCCAATAAATAAAAAGAATGAGTAATAATTTCGTAATTTGCAAAATTTTTTTTAGCCAATAGAAATCTTGAGACATTAGGAATATCGGGAACGATGATCAAAATGGTATTTTTTGGTTCATTTTATTTTTATTTATATTTTTTATATATATATAAATGAAGGAATAAAAGGATACTGGAGATTAGAAAAATGATAAATGATTTTATGGACATGTGTAAATCTTTTTCAGGTTGCAGATATAACAATTTCATACTCCATCGAGTTAAAAAAATTGTGTCGTAAAAATTCCCTTTTATTATTTAGCATTTTAACCATTTCGAAACAACGCGCCACTTTTCATTGTAATCTCACTGAAGCCAAAATGATAAATATTCTAAAGACTATATATTTTTTACATTTACAAAATAAATTGGCATAAATTGTTTTAAGTTATATCTAATCAATTGGTTGTTCTAATGACAAAGAAAATTACAAGATACATTGTGTATAGATTGAAAATGAATGGTATGTGACATTTTAAATATGTATGTAACTCGTTAGTGCGATATAGAGAATTACATCATTAATATATATTATCAACATTTTATAAATTATTAAAATTTTATATGCACGTTCGATATCTTCAATGTAACGTTCTTTTACATTTTCTATGATCGTGGATAGTCGGTGTTTCTTTTGAAAATGTTACAATCCCTATGTAGTACAGTGTTGCTTCTGTAATTTGACGTTGATAGATGAGAGACGATTTATAAGGGTAAGACAAGACCGCGACACACTTGGAAACTTCTTTCTTTTTTTACATTTTCATTCAAATGTATACAACGCCTCGAAAGACCCTCTTTTTTTACGTAAATTTAAAGAACACTATCGTGCCTGTCTAAGAGGGACAGCTTAATCTCTATCAGTTATAAGAAAATAAAGTTCGATATAAGTCATTCGAATACGAAATAAATATATATGTTTATGAAATGAGATTTTTTTGATCTATAAGTGTGTTTTTTTTTTTTTTTTTTTTTTTTTTTTTTTTTTTTTTTTTTTTTTTTTTTTTTTAATGGTTATCGACAGTGCAGTTCAACTTTTGATGAAAGAATTAAAAATGAAAAAAAAATTCGGCGTTTGCTTTTTTTTTTATTTTTTCTTTGCAATATAGTAAGAAATAAAAAAAATTCACGGCGTAGAACGAAGTTATTCGAATCAAATTTTAATTGGTCAATCATAATTATAAATACACATTCGTTATAGCCGTAACAAAAAAAAAAAAAAAAAAGAAAAAAATTATATAGAACGATCCTATAACGTTAATAGTATTTTTAATTTCCAAATCAATTAGCGAAAGATGTTAACGAATAAAGGAATACATTAAACGTATATACGTATTGTATATATTTAGCAATAGAAACTAGTGTCGGCGGGGCTGGGGGGGGAGAGGGATAAGTGGGCGGGTAAATTGAAATTCTTATTAATCGATTTGAATGTGGATAAACGTCGAAAAATGTGATTTTATAAGATTTAACATTTTTATGTTAAATATTTGTATATTACAGGGAATAAAAAAAAGAAAAGAGAGAAGAAGAAGAAAGGAAGGAAGAAAAGAAAAGAAAAAAGAAAAAAGAAAAAAGAAAAAAGAAAGAAAGAAGAAAGAAAGAAAGGAAAAAAAGGGGAAAAATCGTGAAGAAGGATAGAAAAGACGGAAAGAAGGAAGGAAGGACGGAAGGAAGGAAGGAAGGAAGGAAGGAAGGAAGGAAGAGTCGCAGCGGTGGCGCCAACTACGGCGAAAAATGGAATGAGAGCTTAGGCCGGAACCGCGCAGATCGTCCTCAGTAGTTGCCCAGACGCTGTCACGGGCGTAGCTGGATGCTGGGTTGTCTCTCTCTCTCTCGCGCGCGCGCGTGTGCCGCAGGGAGGTGCTTCCTTTTCTTCTTCCTCTTCCTCCTGACCTACCACCTTCTTACCGTTTCCTCCTGTCACCGTTTCTTCTTCTATTCTCAACGAGGCGAATAAAATAATTCATAAATTAATCTAATAGCAAGTTATATACGCACGGCAGTAGCAACAACCAAATAAACAAACAACAACAACGACGACGACGACGACGACGACAAGGACGACGATGACGACTACAATAACATAATAATAATAATATTAATATTAAGAATAATAATAATAATAATATTATAACAAAAAGAAGAAGAGCCATATACACGAGACAACATACACACACACACACACACACAACACACGTAGACATATACACGTACACACATTACTCCACTTCTTCCCTCTCCTCTTCCTCTCCACCAATCTCTCTCTCTCCTTCCACCAGCCTCGTCTCAATATCGGCTCACGTCCGTTTTCGCTCGCCGGCTGGGAGGAAAAGAGAAAAAGAGTGAGAGTGAGAGAGAGAGAGAAACTGCATAAAAAAGGGGAAGACAGAAAGAGAGAGAGAGAGAGAGAGAGAGAGAGAGAGAGAGGAGAGAGGGAGGTGAGTGAATGTGTTGTGTGTAAGAGAGAGAGAGAGAGAGAGAGAGAGAGAAAATGTGATAGAGGGGGTGAAGGTTTTTTGCCGGTCGGTTGGAGAAAGAAAGAGAAAAGTGAGAGAGAGAGAGAGCGAGAGAGAGAGAAAGAGAAAGAAAGAAAGAAAGAGATAATTCTATGAGAGTGTGAGAGAACGAAAAGAGAGAGAGGGAGATAGGGATAGAGATAAAACTGATCGACGACGAGAGAATATAAGAAAAGAAGAAGAGCCGATAGAAAATGTGGTGAGAAGGAAGAAGTGTGCTTCTGTGTATGGTGCAGTGCGGGGTGTCGTGCTTCTTTTTCTTCTTCTTCTTCATCTTCTTCTTTTTCTTCTTTCATTGGAAAGAGAGAGAGAAAGAGAGAAAGAGAACGTCGCTGCCGTATAGAAGATAAGAGAAGAGAAAAGGAGAAAGGAAGATAGAGGATGGCGTGGTCGGATTTAACATGTGTCTATTCGCCGTGACGTGGAAAGGTAAGTAACATTTGTATTAAAACGAAAATTTTATTTTTCGATCGTTAAATTTCATTACGCGCGAAATTCATTTTCTCTCTCTCTTTCTCTCTCTATTTCTCTCTCTCTCTCTCTCTCTATTTCTCTCTCTCTCTCTCTCTCTCTCTCTCTCTCTCTCTCTCTCTCTCTCTCTCTCTCTCTCTCTCTCTGTCTCCAACTTTACGTCATCGATCGATTTCGCGAGTTAAATTAAAAAAAAAGAGGAAAAAATCTGTTCCTATTTTGCATACGTGTGTTCTTTATATATATATATATATATATATATATATATATATATATATATATATATGTATATAAATTTTTTTTATTTATTTTTTATTTTTTTATTTTTTATTTATTTATTTAGTTATTTTTTTCGTTTATATATAACAAAATCAAAAAACAAAATTGCGAGAACACGCGAGAAATACGTAAGTACTTCTATACACGTCATGTCGATGTCGTTTCATAGGAAGAAATTCAACTCTGCTTTTGCTCTCCTATTACATGCTTCCTACTTCGTGATATCAAAGATCGTACGCGCTCGGCCGGCGTCGCGTGCGTAGACAGAGACGGGGATAAAGTGTGCGAGAGAGTGAGAGAGAGAGAGAGAGAGAGAGAGAGAGAGAGAGAGAGAGAGAGAGAAAGAGAAAGAGAGAATAGAGTGCGAGACAGAGGAGAATGGAGTGGGGATGGCGGACATGGCGTTTTCGAGCAACCACTTCGATTCTCGTTCGATATTTTCCTCCCCTTTCTTTCTCTCTCTTTCTCTTCTTCTCACTCTCTCTCTCTCTCTTTCTCTTCTTCTCACTCTCTCTCTCTCTCTTTCTCTCTTTTTCTCTTTTTCTCTTTCTCTCACTCTCTCTCTCTCAATCTCTCTCTTTCTCTCTCTCTCTCTTTCTCTCACTCTCTCTCTCAATCTCTCTCTTTCTCTCTCTCTCTCTTTCTCTCTTTCTTTCGTTCATTTTATCTATGTGCCTCTCTTTTAATCTTTCGATTTTCTTTCGATTATCGCCTGTACAATCGAACCTGTATACAAACTCCAAGTGTCAACGTGATTTAAATATGTAGGTTGGAAAATGAAATGTTAGAAAACGAATGAAAAATTTGATACAATGTGGATCTGTGAACGATGACTACGATGACGACGACGATGATGACGATGACGATGACAACGATAGTGATTTTTGTGATATTAATATAGATTCCATTCGAGAAAACAGATCTTTTCGTACGTATATAAATTTGTCCCTCCTTTTTTCTCATATTTTATTTATTTATTTATTTTTTTTTTTCTTACATTGTCTCGCGTGTAAAACGTGGAGATATTATATCGTTAGTTTTTAACAACGTATGTATGTGTAATATTATTTAAGAAATTTAGATCAAAGGTTGGAGGCATCGAAACTTTTGGTGAAAATCAATTCGTTCAACGATCAATGTTTCTTAGTTGATAATTTGGAAAATACGAGATCGATTGGAGTTTTGCGAAGTTTTAGGTTAACTTAACGTACTCCTTTCTCATCATCTTATCATCATCATCATCATCATCATCATCATCATCATCATCATCATCATCATCATCATCATCATCATCATCAACATCATCATCATCATCATCATCATCATCATCATCATCATCATCATCATCGTAGTCGTCGTCCTCATCGTCGTCAGAATCTATTTTGCATAAACGATCTTTCCACGTATCAGAAATCTTTTATCGAGTAAACGGATATTGATAATGAAATTTCGATCGTTCTTTTTCCTTTTCCTTTTTCCTTTTTTGTTTTTTTTTTTCCCCATCCAAACATAAGATGTTACTGCTATAAAAATATTTTTTGACTTAATCTTTCCTTTTTCTTCTCTCTCTCTCTTTCTCTCTTCTTTTTCTTTGTCTTTTCTTCGCCCATATACATAAGTGTATACGCATACGTAATAAATCATCGAAGGAGTTTAGAGGTTGGAATGTAATATTTTTTCTTTTTGTTTTCTTTTTTCTTTTTTTTTTTTCTTTTTTATTTTTCTGAAAAATAAATGGAAATATCAGAAGAAGGTAAAAACGAAAGTCGAATAATAGTCAAGATTTTATTGTGTACCATCATCATATAGGTAATGGGCATAAGAAAAGAGCTTTTAGCTGACTATTATATGGACCTTTTTATCTTTTTTTTTATTTGTTTTTCTTTCTTTCTTTTTTTTTGTTTTTCTTTTCTTTCTTTTTTTTTTTTTTTTGTTTCTTAATCTGAAAAGTTAACGAGAAAAAAGGAGCGATTTTTAAAAGTGAATCTTCATTCCCATAGTGATGTAAAAAGAAAAAAAAAATTGAAGAAGGAAAAGATGAAAGAGGAAGGAACGAAAAAAAAAAGAAGAAAAGAGATAAAAGGAAAAGCCCCGCCAACTTTTGCATTCGCAAAAGTATTCGATTGTAATTTTATAGCTAGAGGCGTTTCATCGTAAATCTGAATTCGCGTGTATGCCGGGACCCCGTTACGTTTGCATCGCGATCACGTATGGACGTGGATTTTTCTTTTTCTTTTTTTCCTTTTTTTTCATCTTTTTCTTTCTTTTTTTTTTTTTTTTAACATATAGCTATCGCATGTTTTCAAAAATAGATATACGTTGCTTGCGTGAGTCCTGAATCTCAATACACTTTTCGTGACTGCATGTTATATGTATTTGTATGTAATAAGAAGAGAAAAGAAAAGGAAAAAAAAACGCATTTAAATATTCATTAAAAAAATATAAAAAAAGAAAAAAAAAAAGAAAAGAATCTACATTTCTTCTTTCTTTTTCATTTTATTATTATTATTATTATCATTTTTTTTTATTTTTTTTATTTTTATTATTTATATATCAAAGATATAATTTTTGAGATATAATGTTCGTTTTTGTCGAAACGATTCGAGACGCGACGAAGTATTAAAAATGATATTTAAATCGAACAGACCGCCATAGACTATCCGTACGATCTTATTTCAAAGTGAAATCGGCTCTCTATGTATCTCTTTTTCTTCCTCTCTCTCTCTCTCTATCACTCTCTTTTTCTTCCTCTCTCTCTCTATCTCTCTCTCTCTCTCTCTCTCTCCTCTCTCTGTCTATCTATCTGTTGGCTATGCGATCGGCGTCAGCTTGTACGAGCTCGCTCACAAGATCGCAAGAAGGAACATATTACCATGATAAAGGCGACTCCGGTCGCATCGAAAATCAAGAGAAAATTGATCGTCGAGTAGCTTGTCGAATGGCTCTGATATCAAGACCAATACGTTCGACCAGTGAACCTTGACTTAATAACCATCCCAGATGATATAAGTTTGTTATATATATATATATATATATATATATATATATATATATATATATATATATATCTTATATAATATTGTAAAAATATAATAGGATTTTTTCTTTTTTATTAATTATTTATTTAAAGAAAAATGAAATTGTAAAATTTATATATATATATATATATATATATATATTTGTGTGTGTGTGTGTGTGTGTATATCATGTAATGTAATGTATATCTGGCCCAATACCTCTCGTAATATTAAAAATTCTGTTTGATGATAGTGGTATTAATGAACGAACTATACAAAGATGGTTTAATTTATATGTATATATATATTAGATCGTATAATACTAAACGTTGGATTTCTAATTATTCACAACTTGATCGCTAAGTGTTTAAGTTTCATTGAGTGTTCAGTAATTTTATATGTTCTTTTTCTATTCTTTTTTAAAAGACATCGTTTTAAAATTTTTACAATTTTTTTATTAATTGCCACTGTTGGTTACTTTCTCTCTTTTCTTTTTTCTTTTATCTTTACTCTTTGCAGTAATTTTTTATAACGGTGTCAACCGAAGAAATAAGAGTAATTTTTTTTTATACGAGTTTAAACTTGATCATAATGGAGCGTCATGCCACTCGTAATATTAAAAATGCTGTTTAGCGATAGTACCGTTAATGAACGAAACATTACAAAGATAGTTTGAAAAATTCTATTTTAAAATTTAGAAAAAAAAATTTCTTTCACAGATTCTTTGTCATTTTAAAATCAGAACTTTTTTGGGAGAGAATTTCTTTCTTTCTTTTTTTTCTCTCTCTCTCTTTTTTTCTTTCTTTTATAGAATTACGTCGACAAAAGACAACATAATCGGATGGTGGCTATTTTGTTTGATATTAAAAAAGAAAAAAGGATTAAAAATGATATATTCTATCAAAAAATATTCAATATTTCATATTACACTCTAATATTCTATTTTTTGCATTAATAATATATATATATATATATATATTAATATATAGTATTATTTAAATATTATACTGTATATATAATATAAATATAATAATATATAATATAAATATAATATATAATATATAATATATAATATAAATATAATAATATATATTAATAATATATTAATATGTATATATATATATATATATGTGTGTGTGTGTGTATATATATAATTTTATTTTTATGTTGCAAAATATTATTTTGAGCATATTATTTTATAAACTTCATATTTATATTTATATTTATATATATATTTGTCTTTTCTTACAAATATCATTTTTGCGTAGATATACTATAAAACTAATACAAGAAACATTTCGTTGAAAAGACATGTAAATTGGATTAACTTTTAGATAGGATATAATTGGATACATTTTCTTTATTTTTCGAAGATACTATGGGATTATCTTTTCAAACGAAGAAAAGATAGGATTTAGTTAATATCAGTGGACCAATTTTATGTTTAATTTTCAACTTTTTTCTCGTTTCGGGTTAGCGAGTTGAAAAGCAAAATAAGCCGTTTCGTTATGGTATTATTTATGAGACAGTAAATTATTTATCTTTTTTGGAGTTGTAAATAGGGGGTATAAAGAAAACCAGTGGAAAGGAAGAATAAAAAGATCAGTACAATAAGAGGAAAGAATACACGATACATTAGCTATTTCTCTGATCTGTGTAATT